ATGGCTTGATAAACGGCGTGTAGGTCCAGGCCTAGGATCTGAACCTGTGAACCCTGGGCTGCCAAAGCAGAGCACACGAAACCAACCACTATACCACCAGGCCGGCCCCTAGGTTGTATTTTTTAATAACAAAATCCTGTGTGCCATTAAAGGCAATTGGAAATGTAAGAGATTTGGGTTCTTAGAAAAAAGGTTATCCTTCAATGTGAAGTGAGTAGGGAAGTCAGCCGAACACCATCTTTTGTCTACATTAGACTTAATAGAATCTCCAGACTCGGGCTTGAAGATGTGTATATACATAGTATTCAAGTTTTGACTCTAGTCCTATTCTTCCCCTGAATCTGTTTATCCAAACCAGTGTTACTCAAAGTGTGATCCATGAACCAGTATCAAGTCCACAAATTGTTACTAATTGTGATAAGTACAAAAATTGAGCATTTAATTGCTTTTATAGCAATTTAACATTGGCGCAACGTCTATGCATGTGATTATTTTTCTAGAAATTTATTTTTATTGCATTTTACAAAGCATAGGTTTTGACAGATTGGAGAATTGGTGGGGTGGGTGGGGTAGACGGCAGTTCCCACAGATAGTTTACAAAGCAGTACTCTAGATCCTCCTTTTTTTCCATCAGGAATTCCAAACTCTTTGTATCCATGTGGCCATAGTAGAGACTGGGGAAAAGGACATGAACCAATCAACTAAGACTATGTGATGACTGGGGAATGGAGGTGCTGATTATCTGAGATTATTGTGTCTTTACTTAGAATACCCTTTCACCATTTTCCTGCTTCACTCTAACACCAATTTTACTGTGCACAGAATTGCCTGGGGCACCTGTTAACAATGCGGATGCCTATGTGGGATCCCCAAAGGTCCTAATTCCACAAATCTGAGGCCCAAGAATCTACATTTTAAACAAACACCTTAGGTGATTCTAATAAATGTTGTTCCTGGATAGGTCGTTTAAATCAGGATACTTGAGAGTAAAAGGGGGTACTATTAATAATTACATCAGGACAAAATGAATAAACTCAGAATATCCCGATAGGCATACTCAGACATATGGACTCTCTGTATCTGGGGCATATTTTTTGTGTGTGTGAGGAAGATCAGCCCTGAGCTAACATCCGATGCCAATCCTCTTCTTTTTTTGCTGAGGAAGATTGGCCCTGGGCTAACATCTGTGCCTGTCTTCCTCTACTTTATATGGGATGCTGCCACAACATGGCTTGACAGACGGTGCATTGGTGCGCACCCGGGATCCGAACCGGCGAACCCCGGGCCACTGAAGAGGAGTGTGCGCACTTAACTGCTACACCACCAGGTCGGCCCCTGGGGCGTATTTTTAAAAAAGGAGATTTCAAGTTTAGTTGGAAAGTTCCTATTTCCTTTCATGGCCAAACTTAGCTGGATGATGGCTGTTTCTTTAGTCTTCTCAGGATGGTGGCTGTTTCCACTCTTCTACGAATCAACCTCAACTATAGTGTGTATAGAACTGTCTGGTAAAAGAAGGGAGATAGAATTCAGGGCTTCTTTACATAGCTAGGAGTAACTTGAGGGGAGGTAGGACCCACTCCTTTAAAGTTGAAGATTCTTTGCTCCTATTTGATGGAGGTAGATTTTATTTGTCCTAACCTAAAAACTTAGGACTCTTTTGGAACTTTCTGTTATGCATGTTGTCCCAAACCAATCTTAATTCTTCTTCGTGTACCTGGCTCAGCTGTGTCCCATTTCTTTTAGCTGACCATAATCCCCTTGATCCTTGATTCAACCTTGCTTTTGCTTTAATTTAACTAAGTGATTTGTTTACTTGTTTTGTTTTAAGTAAGTTGGAACTGAGGAATTTGAGAGAAAGAAAAAACATCTCTAAATTTCTTCCTCAAGAGCTCTTTAGGTTGTTGTCACCTCTACTTACATAACTTTCATGATATGTAAGAAAAATGGGTTTCCTGTTTTCTAAACTGTTCTCTACTACAACTGGATAGTAGTTAAGGAAAATTATTTTTATTAATAGTAATAATACTACTGGGAGAAGTCAAATAGTATCTGTGGATCTCTTGTCTCTGGTACTACTTCTGTTATGATACTTTTTTGTCATTTCCAACATATTTGATTTTATATTATTTCATTTTGTTTTTAGTTTGTTGACCAATTTCTTTGGTTTACAAAGTGGGAGATTAAAAACAAGATTTCTGTGGGGTTCATTTCAAAACTGGGAAAGGGCAGATTGGCTCTCTAGAAATTGAGAATAAGAGTTTAAAAACCAGAAAGAGTTAAACTAAGTATGAAAAGGGGATGGATTGTGTGTGGAATCTTCTATTTATTTTTTGGATCAAGATTTCAGAGGACTGGTGGTTCTCTGAAGTCACCTACAATAAATTAGATTAAGTGTAACTCTTGATTGAACTTCATATAAATTTCTCTAAAGAAAGTGTCTCTAAAGCTTATACTCTTAGTTTTGGTAATTCTTTCTACTTTTTTTATTATAAGGATTTCAAACATATTACAATAGTAGAGAGAACAGTGTTATGAACTTCCAAGTGAACATCACTCAGCTTCAATGGTTATTAACTCACTAGTCCTTTTCATCTATACTACTGCTTATTCCTTGTCTCCCCCATTATTTTAAAGCAAATCCCAAATAGCATGTAATTTCATCTGAAAATATTTCAGTAAGAATCTCTAAACTATAAAGGATTTTGTTGTTGTTGTTGTTGTTGTTAAACACAGCCATAGTACCATTACATTTTAGTAAAAATTTAAGTAAACTTGTTCAGGACTAACCTTTCACCCTGTCTTGGAGACTCACCAGATGAATAAATAAAAGATTCATCATAATATTTTATTTTTGTTTTATTTTAGAAGTAGATTATCCTATTAAAGTAGTATGGTGATATTCCATCAGAATAACACAAATTAAGACTAATTTATCCATCAAATTAGGATACTTTTGGGCCGGCCCCGTGGCTTAGTGGTTAAGTGCGCGCGCTCCGCTACTGGTGGCCCACGTTCGGATCCCGGGCGCGCACCGACGCACCGCTTCTCTGGCCATGCTGAGGCCGCATCCCACATACAGCAACTAGAAGGATGTGCAACTATGACAAACAACTATCTACTTGGGCTTTGCGGGGGGGGAAAAAAGGAGGAGGATTGGCAATAGATGTTAGCTCAGAGCCGGTCTTCCTCAGCAAAAAGAGGAGGATTACCATGGATGTTAGCTCAGGGCTGATCTTCCTCACAAAAAAATAAGTAAATAAATTAGGATACTTTTGAGAGTGAAAGGGGACACTATTAACAATTGTGCTGGGAGAGCAGTTGAAATCTAGGAGTGTCCTGGGTAAATGGGGATGTACATGGTTCCCTATCTCAAGGTAATATTTACTGATTGGGTAGCTGCTATCATTTTTTCAGTGAGTTTTGAATAGTCAAAATGAGTCAAGTCGTAGCCAAGAGCATGACGAAACTTACCATAAAACTTTCTTTACTTGTAAATAATACAAAATGGTTGGCTAGATCAGGTCTAAAATTTTTAAAGTATCTGTGGATTTCAACTTGGTTCTTAATAACACTCCATAAAGCTAGAAGTGAAACCACCAGACATAAATCACAAATTAAAATGATTTTAAATCATTTTAAATTTATCGTTTATAGGCTTGTGGCTAGTAGACCACAGAGAATCTGAAGTGGACTGCATTATAAAGTAGGTAAATGAGGAGATGACAGTCAATTTTAAAATGTCGAAAACTTTTTTCTGTTAAAGCTAATTTGCCGTGATATTTTTTTTTTTTTTTTAGATTTTATTTATTCACTTTTTTCCCCCCAAAGCCCCAGCAGATAGTTGTATGTCATAGGTTCACATCCTTCTAGTTGCTGTACGTGGGACTCAGCTTCGCGCTGGACGGAGAAGCGGTGCCTTGGGGCGCGCCCGGGATCCGAACCCGGGCCGCCAGCATCAGAGCGCGCGCACTTAACCGCTAAGCCACGGAGCTGGCCCTGCCGTGATATTATATAAACTTTATATCCAGCATAAACTGAAGTGAGTTGTTAGCATTTCCAGATTAGAAAACACAACTAGACCTCCCATACTCCAGTTTATACCCTGTTACATAGCAAATTATTCTCAGGAAGAGATCCATGCTATTAGTGGTGTTCTTGTTGTCAGTAATATTTTAAGCAACTACCTTTTGAGCATAAAGTATACATCTATGATTCCCCTGACCAGGAATTGAAGTCAAACTTCTAAACATATGGTTTCATTAGGTCAGTTCTTTGGAAGAAATAGATGACCTTTTAGTGTTGTGATTTCTTTTCCTTCATTTTGTTTAACCACAGTTTCATTTTTAACACCTTTTACATAGATAAAAGATATTCATATCATCTAATCCCTTGTCTCACTTTTAGCTTATTTACTGAATCAACTTCAAGTCTTTCATGTTTATTATGTAAAAATAATTTATGCACACATATATACATATATCTTTTAAATGACTTTGACTTTGTGATGTTTTTTTTTTGCTGTGGAAGAGTAGCCCTGAGCTAACATCTGTTGCCAATCTTCCTCATTTTTTGCTTGGGGAAGATTAGCCCTGAGCTGACATCTGTTGCCAATCTTCCTCATTTTTTGCTTGAGGAAGATTAGCCCTGAGCTGACACCTGTGCCAGTCTTCCTCTATTTTATATGTGGATCGCTGCCACAGCATGGCTGACAGTGGTGCAGGTCTGTGCCCAGGATCCAAACCCACAAACCCGGGCTGCTGACAAACTCAACCACTATGCCAAGGGGCAGCCCCCAACTTTTTAAAAATTAGACTTGATCATTATGATATAATAATAATATACAATATCTTGGAATTTCTTTCCCTGTAGTTCTGGTGTTCTGGTCTGTGGATGTGAAATCATGGTGATATATTAGGTTTAATTTGTTATATAAAGGAAATGTGTTCATGGTTGTTTTCTATACATTTAAGTATTTTAAATTATTTTTTCTGTCTTTCTAGCTGTGCCCTTTCCTCCAACCCAGCGGCTTACTTTGAAGGAAGTATTTGAGAATGGGAAACCTAAAATTGACCTTTTGAAAAACCATTTGGTGAAGGAAGGGCGACTGGAAGAGGAAGTAGCCTTAAAGATCATCAATGATGGGGCTGCCATCCTGAGACAAGAGAAGACTATGATAGAAGTAGATGCTCCAATCACAGGTATAAGACGTATTTGCATGGTGCCACTTAGATTTGAGCTAATTTGAGAAATGATTACAAATAACCAACTAAAATGTGTAATAATTTTTATAGGAATTATGAGACAGTCTTAGAATTGTTTAGTATATTTGTTGTTCATTGAAGAAATACAATGTAAAATGTCTAATAATTCTAGTAGGACTAGTCAGTATTGATAGATTGACTATAATTATAGAGCAGTCCAGTCAAAAGCTGAAGTGATTTAAGTTAAATTTAAACTGTGATCCCTTTTGCTGTAAATGCCCTTTCTCTTCTAAGACATCAATTTTCACCTCACCCTGTGTCCTGTTTTTCCTAGTGTGTGGTGACATTCATGGACAATTCTTTGACCTGATGAAATTGTTTGAAGTTGGAGGATCACCTAGTAACACACGCTACCTCTTTCTGGGTGACTATGTGGACAGAGGCTATTTCAGTATTGAGGTAAAAATTAAACTGGATATGTTGGAACTATCATATTGTCTTTTTTAAAAAAATTTGCTTTGCATTCTTAGGTAGAAGAAATTAAAATGAGAACACTGGCAGAATTTATAAACTTTGTTACTTTCAGTAATTAAAGTGATAGAGAAAGGTTTTAATTGATGTTAAAAAATGTATTCCTTTTTTTAGCCAGTAGAACATCTGACATATAGAAGGCTGTATTAATCCAACTTTGCAAATAAGTTAAATGTTTACTAAAACTTTCCTCTTTGAAGATAGTGTATAGGCTGTATATAAATGACATAAATTGCTGTTCACCCTAAACTTGGTTTGGATTAGCTGACCTTAATTGTAAGACCATAAGCTGCTGGGCTACAGTTAACTCTTAGAGTAATTGCAGAGCTAAATAAGCAGGCACTTCGCTTATTGTAGGAATAATTTCTGATACTATTGACATAGTAAGCACTTAATAAATGTTCATTGAAGGAAAAAGTGATTACGGTTGATAAAGTTAATGAAAACTCACAGTTTACTTTTATATATTTTGGAAATTAAACGATGAGAGGAAAATGGTTAGAATTAAAACAAAGTATAAGCATTTATGTGTAAAAGATAAAACTGTTTTGGAACCTAATGCAAGAACTTGAGTACAGTGGAACCACCACACATTCATATTTAACGTCCATTGATTCAGCTGTACATGCTTGGCAAATGAAAGAGAAGTAACTTTGGAAATAACGTGGGTAATCGAATTTATAATGTGCCCAGAATAATCGTGGGATGAGAAATTGAGTCAGCTTGGTCTTGCAGTCTTTACTTCTGCCTCTCTCATAGTGTGAGAATCTCACTGTACTAGGTGTGTTTCTGGTGGTTAAAGGGTTATTGTTCGTGCAGCATCACTCCTAAGTACAAGTCAGCTATCTCACCTGGTGCTCAACCAAGGAAGCTGCAGTTGTTCTAAAGCTGCCGGCAAAATAAACGACAAGAGAAATAGATCTTACTCTTTAGTTATATAGGCAGCCTAAATTCATGAATCAGAAAAGTTCAATGTTATTTGCCATTGCCTCAAGTTCATTTAGTGTCATGTATGAGGATAAAAGTTAATGATAGAAACTAAGAAAATAAAGCTTGTTTTCCGTACTGCTCAGTAAATTCCCAAGGTATCTAAATAGGTACCTGGGATGGGTGAAGATCATATTCGGACTATATAATTGAAAAGCTTCCCTGTTCCTATTCACGTCATGTTTCAACAGACAGTAAGTTTCAATAGACAAAAGTGTGGATGTTTGAAATATACATGGAATGTTTACTTCTTTGCGTGTTTGCTAGCGTGAGGAGGTTTTAGGGGCTGAAGAGAAAAATACAGAATTTAGTGAAGTTTTAATCAGTCATTTTATTTAGTGAAACAACTCTTTAAAAAGATATTGTACCAAATCATCTTCTGATCGTTAACTCACATACTTTAAAAATAGTTTCAATGCATCACTGTATTCAGGAAAGCACACACACACACAATCCGCAGTGATTTTTTTGTACACATATGCTATATTCAGAGTATTTTGTTTTGTGTATTCTTTTCCTCACTCATCAACAAATGTCTTCTGAGTGCCAATTTTATGGCAGGCTCTGAGGATAAAACAATAAATAAAATTCATGCTGTACATGGGAGCTGACAGTCTAATAGAAAAGATACACTGATGAATAGATCTTTCAGTGTAATATGTAAGTGCTTAATTATCAGCAATATTCTTCATGTTAGGACCTAGCACAGTGCCTGACACATAGAGGGCACTCAGTTAATATTTGTTGAATGAATGAATGAATGTTAATAAATCATAGTTTGTATTTGGCTTTATCTTGTTACTTGATGTTTGGCTAACTTAAAGGGTTTTTCTGGAATATCTTAAAATATAAATGAATCAAAACTCTAAAATGACAATGCTATTTTATACCAGTTTTAAAACTGAACTGTAGGTTATATCTAGTGTTAGTTGGAAGTCACTTACTTACAAACCACTAAGATTATAAACTTCTGTAGGCTACAGCTTAGTCCAATCTGATACAAGCATATACTTGAACAATAATTTTTTATCGATGTCCTTGATAAGCATGATGTGATGTTTCTGTCAAATGAATGCAAATAGGATAATGGAGTCCCTATTATAATTTTTTGTTAGAGATAGTTCATTTTTTTTGTAGAAAAATTGGGAAATGCAGAATTTAAGAAAATAAAAACTTTTATAAATCAGAGATAATCACTGTTCACATTTTAGTATATTTTCTTGCAGTCTTTTTTCTTTCTTTTACACTTATGTATATATATTTTAAAGAAAATTGAAATCATTTTGTGCATTCCTTTTTGCACTCTTTTTTTTCCCCTCTCAACATTGTATTGAAAGCATTTTTCTCTATCATTAAAATTTCTCCAAAAGCCTGGTTAGTGGTATAAATACCATAATTTATTTCACCCTTCCTCTATTGTTGAATAATTAGGTTTGTAGCAGGTACTGCTTATTGCCTACCTTTTCTCTCCTTCTTCCTTACCATCAAAATCCCTATTTTATTCAGATAAATGGGATTAGGGATTCAAGGAGAACTTTGGATTTCAGGGAGGCTAGGCCCTTATCCCAGCCCCAGGGAATGAATTCTTGTTGGTCTGAGCTAGTCATGGCAGTCCATTCCCTGTCACCAGTGCTTGGTCTAGGGGTAAACATGGAATCCTGTTTTGCCCAGTAATATATAGAGGGAACTCTGCTGGGTGTTCTTGTTGTGTTGTGTTGTGTTGTGTGTGTGTGTGTGTGTGTGTGTATTTTGAAACATTTTCTTTCCAGATGAAAAGACTCTTGCAAGGTGAAAGCTTTTAGACTTCCATTCCACTATGTCATTTCAAATGTGGGTGTGTGTACTGTAGCAGCCATTTTGTGACCATGAGGAGGTACTGTAACTAAGGATGAAAAGCAGACAAGCTGTGAATCACAGATCAAAGAGGTAGGGAGGGCATGGTTTCTTGGTGAGGATGCTGAGCTGGTACACTAAACCTGGACATCTTACCTCCAGATTTCTTGTTTCGTGAGTTATTTAATGTCTTTATGGCTTAAGCAACAGTTAATTGGATATTGTATCACTTGTACTGTAGGTGGTACAAAGTTGTTTTCCAATTATTTTTGTTCTGCATATTGCTGCAGTTAACATCTTTTTTTAATATATCTTTGACAGCATTTCTGGTATTTTCTTCAATCGGGTTCTTATAAATGAAATAAGTGGTTGAAAGAGTGTCAGCATTTTTAAGACTTTTGATGCATATTGCCAAATTATTTTCACAGAACCTTATTTCAATTTATTTTCTCGTTCCATACTTAATCATTTCTCTTTTCTTGAGCCTGTACAAGAGAATCAAGACATGATGACTTTTTTTTCATGCCCATAGCAAGTACTGATCTTTCCAGAAGCAGTGTGGGCTTTGATTAGTACACCAGGGACTGGTCCAAATGTCACTGGTAAAACAGAATAGTCAAGTTTCATTTTTTCTGAGCCTTTTGATGTTCCTTCTTCATTTGTACCTGTTATAAAGTACTTCCTCTGTGGTAGGGAGAGCTACATTTTAGTTTCCTTTAATTGATTTTGCAATAAGAGAAAGGATTAAAAGGAACATTTTCAGCATAGGATATGTTGTACTAAAGGTACAGGAGCCACCAAAGAGGAAATGTTATCAGATGACCAACTGGTGCGCAGTTTTTAACGTACAGAAATGATTCTCGAGGCGGAGTAGAAATCCTGTTCACATAGAAATAAAGAAGTAGGTGAGTGTCTAAACAGATCTGCTGATAATCATGACCTTGTAATTGAATTGTACAAGATAATTGTACAATTTCATCTTGATGTATAATATATGGAAATAAGACTTGAGATTAGAGGCTGAGAGGTATATCAACCAAATTACATTGTAGTGTGGATATGGGTTGTGCTTTTATATATCTCATTTCTTCAAGAAGGCGAGTTGGGGGCTGGCCTGGTGGCGTAGTGGTTAAGTTCCTGTGCTCTGCTTCAGCGGCCTGGGGTTCACAGGTTTGATCCCAGGCGTGGACCTATGTATCGCTCATCAAGCCATGCTGTGACAGCGTCCCACATACAAAATAGAGGAAGATGGGCACACATGTTAGCTCAGGGCCAATCTTCCTCACCAAAAAAAAAAGAGGTGAGTTGGTTGTTTTCAGGGGGCAGAAATAAAGACCCAAATAAATCAAAAGATACACCATGTTCTTGGTTGGGAAAAGTAAGAAATCTAATCTGTAAGAATGGGCAAAAGATGTTGGTGACTTAGATTAGGTATATTGAGAAGCATTTGGATTCAGAATTTTGAAGTCTTTCCTTTTTGGGAGGTGGGAAAATCTCAGTTGAATTAATCAAGCTCCTCAGGTCATGGCACATTTATTACTAGTCCCTCTCTGTTGTTTTATTTTTTTTCTGTGACCTCTATTTTCCCTACTCCCTCTCCCTGTTACACATGTTTCTGTTGTATTTGGTATATGCTTCAGAATGCGTATAATATGTTATGTTAATTTTTTAGTGTGTAAGGTTTTTATGGATAAAGTACTTTAATTTTACATAAATGTTATGGTACTTTTCAGTGGTTCTCAAACTTTAACATGCATCATAATTACCTGGAGGGCTTGTTCAAAAACAGATTGCTGGGTCCCACCCCAGAATTTCTGTTCTGATTCATTAGGTCTGGGGTAGAGCCTGAAAATCTATATTTCTAACAAGTTCCCATGTGATGATGACACACCGCACTTTGAGATGAACGTGGCACACTGAGAACCACTGCTGTCGCTCTATTTCTGTTGATTTTGTTTTTCAATTGTCATTATGTTTTTAAGATCTATCCAGATTGCTGTATATCTCTAGTTCATTGCTTTCTGCCTGCTGTGTAGTGTTCCACAGTATACATCTATGACATTTTAGTTCTCCATCCTCAATGGTGGACACCTAGGTTGCCTTCAGTTTCTTTCTACAATGAACACTGCTGTGATGAACACTCTTATATAAATCCACTTATGGTCCCGTGTTTTAGTTTCTCTATGGTTTATGAACAAGAGTGGGATTGCTAGGTAAAAGGATATACGCCATCATACTTGAACAGACTATTGCCAGATTACTTCAGAATAGCTATACCAGTCTATACTCCTACCAATAGTACCTAAGAGTTCATATTCCCCTACATCTGTTTTTCTAGAATTTGGTTTTGTCTCATTTTCTAATTTTATGGGTATAAAGTAGTATCTTATTGTTTTTTCAATTAATATTTCTCTAATTAGTAATGAAATTGAGCATCTCCTCATATGTTAGCCATCCCACTCTTACAATCACTCCTAAGAGTTTCTTGTGTGACCTTTCAGAGATAGGTTAAGCATATACCAGCTTATTTACATATCTATTTTTTTTAATTCTTTTATTTTTTATTTTTTTAATAATTTTATTTATTTATTTATTCCCCCAAAGCCCCAGTAGATAGTTGTATGTCATAGTTGCACATTCTTCTAGTTGCTGTATGTGAGACGCGGCCCCAGCATGGCGGGAGAAGCAGTGCGTTGGTGCGCGCCCAGGATCCGAACCCCGGCCGCCAGCAGCAGAGCGCACGGACTTAACCGCTAAGCCACAGGGCCGGCCCTACATATCTATTTTTAAAAAATAAATGTACTTATCACTATACAGTGCCCTTTATTTATTTATTTTTTAAATGTTTTAGACTTTTTTTCAGTGATTTGACTTTATTATTTTATTTATTTATTTTTTGTGAGGAGATCAGCCCTCTGCCAACATCTGCCAATCCTCCTCCTTTTTTCCTGAGGAAGACTGGCCCTGCGCCAACATCTGTGCCCATCTTTCTCTACCCTACATGGGACGCCACCACAGCATGGCTCGCCAAGTAGTGCATCGGTGTGCACCCGGGATCCAAACTGGCGAACCCCGGGCCGCTGCAGCAGAACGCGTACACCTGACCACTTGCGCGACCAGGCAGGCCCGTGTACAGTGCCCTTTAAATGCTGCTTTATCTGGGTCCCACAGATTTTGACATGTATTGTTTTTGTTATCATTCAGTATTTTATATTTTAAGAATTCTCTGTAACCCTAGGACAATGAAGTAGTGTGTTTTTTGTTTCCAGTCATGCAGGATTTTTTTAGAGTTAGTGTTTTGTTACCAATTCTAATTAATGTAATTTGATTAGAGATCATGATCTGAAAAATATTCATTCTTTGGAATTTATTGAGATTCCCTTTGTAATGCAGTACCTAGTAGATTTTTGTGACTATCCCATATATACTCAAGAAGAATGCATTCTTTACTTGTTGAATTGTTCTCTATAACTTTGATTATTTTTGTCTGTTTGAATTATGAGTTGCTTTTGGATTTCTGTCAAAATCTCCAACTACAATTATTGATTTATTTGTTTCTCACCAAAGTCCTGTCAATTGTTGCTTATGTTTTGAGGCTGTATGTTAGATATGTATATTTCATGATTAATATTTATGATCAATCTTCATTATTCACAGATTCTGTATTTGCATATATGCCCCCTTGCCAAAATTTATTTGTAATCCCAAAATCAATACACAAAGTGCTTTCCAGCTCCGAGGCCCTCTCAGCAGAAGGAGCTAGGAAATATATATGTATACTAAGCCATACCTACACTCACATTTTTATTTATTTATCTGTGTATATCTTAAAAAGCATGAGTTCATATGATACCTCTGATTCCAGTCCAACATCACAAGGTTCCTTCTAGCCTTCCCTCTTTCCTGGGCCTCATCATCTACAATATATTCACTTGGCTGGTCAGTCCTAGTATACCCATAAGATAGGTACATAACAGCCAACCTATACTGTGAAAAACAGGTTGACTAGAGTTACAGTATTTGTGTACATTTCTTTGTGTCTTTAGCCTTATGGTATGCAGTCAAAATGCTCTTTTTCCAACGTTACTTGGGTTGGTTCTTTCTTTCCTTTCCCGTTCTTTATGGCTTTTTATCCATTTATATATAATACAGTTAGGTTCATTTGTTACTGTTTATATTCCATTTTGAGTTTCTTTCTTTTTTTTTTTTTTTTTTTTTTAAAGATTTTATTTAT